CAGGCGGCTGTGAAGGCCATTGAAGCGGCTTCATCGGTCGGTGTATATCGTCTGTGTTGGGCTCATATTTGAACATGCTGAACGTTCTGGGTTTTCTGGCTCATCTGGCTCTTTTCCCCACAGACTGAACAGTTTCCCTCAGGTTTCTGGCTGGGCGAGCAGCTGGTGTGTTGGCAGGCGGGCAGCACACCCTGGCACATCTTCCCTGTCATCTCTCTCTACCTGATGAGTGAAAACACAAACCAGTCTTTCCGCATCTCCATCCTGCCACAGGTACTTCATTCTGCCATCTGAGTGATGTGACTAAACATGGACTGCAAAGAAGTGAGAACAACTCTCCTGGGTTTGCCACGAAGCAGTTATTCCTTTTGAGAGAACTGACTTCACAGATGCATGTTCAGTATCTTCAAGCACATGCACTTTGATGTGTCACGGGCTGCTTCCTAAAAATACCAAGCTGTTGCTGTTTTCACATGCCTTTCAATAGAGATTTTATTGATTTACTCATGACTCAAATCCAGACAATCTTAAAATATGAAAATCCATTAGCTATTATTACATTTGTAAAACTATGACCTAAACAAAGACTACAAGAAAGATAAATAATTTCATAATTATTGTATTTTTTCCCCAGTTTAAATTACATCTGGTCCTTCGTTATTTATAACCAGACCAAAATGTTTACCTTTAGTAAGGCTCAAAAAAAGCTAGTATACTTTGTATATGAAAGTATATTGTAAGTGAAGATAATTATTGAGATGAAATATGAGTCGTTTTGTCAAATTATGCAAAAATTTTAAAAATATTATTTAATTGTATTTTGAATGCATATAATTAGCATTAGCAAGACAAAGGAGTTAGCCATTTTATTCCAGACATTTTTAACCATCAGAACACCATCAAACAAAAAAACATCATTTAAAATGTGATGGAAATATTAAACTTCGCCTCTTATTCATGTATGCCACGTGTTGGTGATTACCAGCAGGCACCTTGATATCAGTTTAACATCAAATATTAGTCAAGACTTGATCAACATGCTGTGACATCATTTTAAAATCAGTTTGGACGGCGATATCTTCCAGGGGTCACTGGGTGGAAACAGGAAGCTAATCCCACACTGAAACTGGTTTAATGTACATGTGGGCCAAATTTACATCAAACCAACTTCATGCCTGTTTTTGACGTCAGTTTGATTTGCACATTTGACCTGTTTTTTTTAGGTAAATTTTGATGTCAATTTGATGTCTTTTCAACATCAATTGCCCACTGGGTTGTTAGAAGACCTGAATTGAATTGGATTGGATTGGATTGAATTGGATAAGCTAGTAGGTGTGTGAAAAGTGCATTTTAAACTAGTCTATTTCAAAATGTCCAGAAAGCCAAAACTACATACAGTTGAAGAAACATTTATGTATTTTCTCTTTGTACTTTTCCAGTTGAACAGTTTTTATTTATTAAACAGAGGTAAAGTAAAAGCAAAGCTTCTCATTGTTTCTCTCCGTCTCTCAGTATAACTATGATAAAAGTATCGTGGACAGCGGCACCACAAACCTGCGTCTCCCTCGTAAAGTGTTCCAGGCGGCTGTGAAGGCCATTGAAGCGGCTTCATCGGTCGGTGTATATCGTCTGTGTTGGGCTCATATTTGAACATGCTGAACGTTCTGGGTTTTCTGGCTCATCTGGCTCTTTTCCCCACAGACTGAACAGTTTCCCTCAGGTTTCTGGCTGGGCGAGCAGCTGGTGTGTTGGCAGGCGGGCAGCACACCCTGGCACATCTTCCCTGTCATCTCTCTCTACCTGATGAGTGAAAACACAAACCAGTCTTTCCGCATCTCCATCCTGCCACAGGTACTTCATTCTGCCATCTGAGTGATGTGACTAAAACCAGTTTAATACGCATGTGGAAATGTCTATAAGTTCATCTAATGAGTGAAATACTTGAAATGAAAGGTACTTGTTATTTAATGCACTTTTTGTTTGGACATTGAAAATAAATTCAATATAAATATACATTCACTTTTATATGCTAGCCTGCCAAACATGAACACGAAACTATCTGCCTGTAACACTGTATCCCACAGTTCAATGCAGTTCTCTCACATTTACCAGTTACAATCACTCCCCCTTGTGGAGGAGCGGGATCTCGTTTCTGTACCACCAGACATGATGCTGTCTCTATTCCCTCAAAGGATGAGTTTTGTCCGTTACTCCCTGAAACAAAACATGAACAATATATCCACATCCAAAAGAGCGAACTTCAACTCGACTTAAAAACTTATGAAGAGTTACAAATGTCAGTGTCAGCTTGCATGTTGAAGGGATAGTTCACCCAAAAATGAAAATTACATCATAATATACTCACCTTCAAGTTGTTCAAAACATTCTTCAAAAGAAGAATTTGAATAATGTTGGTAATCATACAGTTAATTATAGCTATTTATTTTTTTCTTGATTTATTTTTTTCTTGAGTCATCATCCATCAAGTGTTTGGTTACCCACATTCTCATTTTCATTTTTTGGTGAACTATACCTTTAATAGATGTCGTAAGAGACTTTTACTTTTAAACTTTTAAAAATTGTGAAGTCAAATAATCCTTGAAACCACACAATCATATGGTTAAACCAACAAATAGCAAGAGCAAGGAAAAATAAGTAAATGATTAAATGATATGTAATGAATGATTATAAATGTCTAAAAATTAATAACAAAAACATCAAGACAATAAAACTAAACAGATGTGTGGTACACTCACATATTAGACAGATTAGATCCTGATCCTCAGATCCTTCACCCACAATGAGAGCATGAGCAGCAGTAGAGAGTGAATACACGGTAAATGTTTTTTGTGAGCAGACGCTGCTGGATACAGTATCTTTCCTCAGCCATAAGGCCTCCTAATACCCTGTATGAGATTGTCAGAAAGGGTTAGCAGTGCTCCACTGAGGTGTGTCCATGTGGAGATTATCTGCTGTTGATCATGTGTGGGTTTTCTATGGTGAATCATGTGTGTAGCTGATATCCGTCTGTGTCTCGTCTCTCTGCAGCAGTATCTGAGGCCGGTGGAGGACGTGGCCTCGGCTCAGGAGGACTGTTACAAATTCGCTGTGTCTCAGTCGAGCACTGGGACGGTAATGGGTGCCGTCATCATGGAGGGCTTCTATGTGGTGTTCGACCGAGAGCACAAACGCATCGGCTTTGCAGTCAGCACGTGTCACGGTGAGACAAACTTTCTCTGAGGAACTTACAGTGGCCTCAAATGGTATCAGGACAATTACGCCTATGAGATTGTTTGTTCCTTTATTCCAAATAAATAGATTATGATTCACAAATAAATGTAAAGAGATTCACAAAAACATATTTACAGATAAATAGAGTGAGATCCACAAATACATGCTAGAGTTTCACTAAAATAATTGAAATTCAAAAAAAATAAAATGAGATTTGCAAATTAAAAAGCATATCCACAAATACCTATTTTATGTCACAAACACAGCTGTGCCTGGCATTCATTTGTGAATGGCTTTCTGTGCGTTTGTGGATTTTGAAACATTTCTAGCATCAAGACGTGCTGACAAATCCACAAATAGGTGGACTCCACCCACCGTCTGCTCAAGCCAATCAGATAACAGCCGCTCGTCGCTGACCAATCGTAGCATGTTCTCGCTATAACCAATCACATTTTGTTTTACAATCAGGGTGTTCTCGCCCTGAAAGAACTTTGCTCATTCATCTGCATTGGCTGAGAGAGGAAGTATAAGGTCCATTAAAACTAGTACAGTAAAACATGTTTAAAATTTGCATTTCGTTAGACTGTGTATCAAGCCAAGCCACAGTATTATATGTTACGTGCCTTTGAAAATTCCAAATCCTTAGAGAAACGGCGCTCTCTGTTATGGGAACAACACAAAGTTGGATACAGACGCATTATGGAAGGGGTCATGTTTGGTATTAAACATGATGTTTTGTGCCGTGTGTACTATGATGCTGTCGTGTACTCCAGAAGTAGAACGGGTCATCTGTTTACCGCCGGTGACTCGTTGTGTCACACCGCGTCCAGTGTAGACAGTATCATTGATTATAATGTGTTCTATGTACTTTTGACGTGTTGTGTCGGGCCACTCGCGTCAGGTGTAGAGAGGGTGTTATAGCTCGGGATCTGTGAATGATCATAATTTGTGTATATTCCTGAGGTTATCCTGATGGAAATATAAATATAAAGAAGTCTTAATCTCTGATAATCTTTTGGACACATGGTGTTTCATCCACACAAACAGCACTTCAGCTCAATTTGAACAAAGGGCCACGTTTCTTTCAGAGGAGCGAAATGTATCTGTTCCCAACTCCCTGATTGTAAAGCAAGTCATGATTAGTTATAGTGAGACTTGTACTTTTTGGAGCAACTGTATTTAATGTGGTTTAATAATCATTGTTATTAATGTTGTGTTTCATCTGCAAGAACACCAGTAATAAATACAGAGTCATATTACATTCTGGAGTTAGGCTGTTTGTTCAGAGGCTTAGCAAGATAACTGGGACACTCATTAATTCTCATTACTACAATGCAAAAACATTACCTTAACCCTAACAAAAACAAAACATTAATGTCATGCAGATTAAAAAACACAGACTGCATCCAGACATCCAGGATGTTTTATTACAGTAATGAGAAATCATCATTGAGATTCATGAATGAGATGTCACCTACCTTATTGTTTGTTAATTCTGCGCTGTAGTCCATGATGAGTTCCGCACCGCTGCAGTGGAGGGGCCGTTCCATGGCGTGGACCTTGAGGACTGTGGCTACAACATCCCTCAGACCGACGAGTCCACATTAATGACCATCGCCTACATTATGGCGGGCATCTGTGCACTATTTATGCTGCCTCTGTGCCTCATGGTCTGTCAGTGGCGCTTTACGCGCTGCCTTCATCCGCTGGGCGCTGGAGATTTCTCTGATGACATATCCCTCCTGAAGTGAGCCATTTCTAAACGCAGAATGATTTCAGTGCTTGTAAAACTGTCCGTCCTCGAGGGTCTCAAAGAAGGAGAATTGATGATATTGATGAGACTACAGTGATTATAACTATATATGTTATAATATTGCATATGCGCACACACACACACACACA